CGGATTACCATTCCAAAAACATACCTACCGTCTTAAAGCCTGGTACTCGAAGCATTAGCCCCGTTAATTTGGCAGGCCTGCAGAATGATATACACGACAGGAGAATGCTACTGCGACAGGCTGTGTGCACTACAGAGTGCTATTACGGCAGCATATACCAGTGACGTCTCTTCAAGATCCGAATCAGGATACAACGAAAAATCTAAACCATATGATATGTATTGCCAAGCGTACTCTGCAGATATGCTCCAAGTCAAAATCCTGATCTCTTCAAATCTTCATTATACTGTGTATCTATTTCTAATAAGCACATGAAAGCATAAATGTGAATGTTGAAGTTATCGATCATGCAGTGTAGTACACCTAAAGGGTATCAATAGATGTTAGGTAACTTCGATAAAATAATTATCTTCGTTCTTGTTTGGCGTCGAGTTCAAAATGAAGATTTCCTTTCAAATAGCCATTTATGTAACTTACTATAAAAGTATGAGGCTGTATAAAAATCGCTCAAAATACGCGTGCAAATACCGTAAAGAATACTTTTGCGTATGCTACAGTGGCAATAATCCGGCGAGAGGAGTAGCGGTTTCTTTGAAAAAAAAAAACGCAGGTCATGAGGTGCCATATTTCTAATAGATTGTTCTTCAGTTCGCGAACAATTTCCTATAGAACATATTGGACAAATGTAAACGGCTTCCTCTATTCCCAAATAGTAGTTTCCAAACGATGGTTGCATTAGCAGTACATGTTTAAAAATAATTAAATGAATCAAGTCTGGCGCTATTCGCTTCAATTTGAGTTAACCAACTTATTATCGGCATAAAACTAACCCACACACATTGAACTTCACAGAACTTACTTTAAAACGGTTATCCAGGCCAGTAGCAAAAGCCTGAAGTGTTCTCTCTTTTCCTCGTGTTCGATGATCGTTGATTTGTACAACACGAGCAATCTGGAAGGACCCAACGGGAAAAGGCGATCTATGTCTATCTTTCTCATTACTTTTCCTGTTACTATTCGAACTTTTACTTATTTAATGCAATATATCTACGTTCAGACCACTTCCCCGTCAGCGGGGAAACACTTTACCACTGCACAACTGCGGGATTGAAATCGAGGGCAAAAAGCGCTAAAAAACGTTCCGAGTTGTACGTCTAATACTGTTTTAGTTCAGCATTGTTTCAGAAGGCTGGGTCGCATCAAGCAACGACGTATTTACGGCCAGATTCCAACCTAGACTACCGCATATTCCGCATTATCACTGCACCATTACAGCGGCGAAAGCAGGGGTGGTGAAAGGAGGGATGAGTCTGGCATAGGTGCTACGTATATACAGACCATAAAATCGAACACAGCAGAAGGATCAAGGTATATGTGCACTAAAATGCTCCATATCTACCACATTGCAATCTAAATGCTCTTGAATGAGTTTGTATCGATAGTAAATAAACCTGCAGTTGGAAGAGGGAAGGCGTTCGATCGGATACTTGACTTGATTTCTAATCAATTTTATTCCTTCTGTCAAATGTCGAAACACACCAGAGTAATAGAGATTTTCAGCGATGTCTTTCTACTTTCCTTATCATCTTATTTCTGCTATCCTTATTAGCCTTATTATCACGACCAGTCTTCCTTATCCTGATGGCTATTCTTTGGGTGGCGGAGAGATACATGGTAAGCAACACAATAAGTTATGACATTACGAACCGTCTAATCGAAATTAAAAATGATCTCTGGAAAGTCAAAAATCATCAGTCTTAGGCTAAAAACCTTGTGACCGAGGCCCGCTTGTGACCGTTCACAGAATGTTTATAGAAACTGTGAAAAAGCTGGTCACTCACGAGTGTGCATCGAACAATGCTATAAAGCTATTTTAATGAGAGATGAAATCTCTCTTGAACTGCCTCGTATTTAATTGTAATAGAACTCTAAAAAACGGTACCTGGGTGAGCAGCGCCGTCGGACTAACAGACCAATTTTTGTTAGTCATCATGTGGCACAGTGCGGAGCGGAAAGAAGGGAGGTTTGATCCATTGTACAATCTGCAACTTGCGATTTCTATTTCTATGCAGAGCTGATCACTAAGACCTATGTGGAACTCGTTTTCTTATCTGGCGTTTCGTCTGAAATATCGTATAATTTCCTACCTTTAAAGCGTCTCGGACATGCCTTTGGTTATAGTTGTGAAACAAAGGGAAGCTCGGAGCCGCACAACGGCCCGATGACGTCTTCGGACACGCCTAGCATGTTTAAAACGTCCGTCGGCTATTGAAAATGCTTCTTCCCTTTAGGCCTCGATTAATATTTAAACTACTATTTAAACCTTTCTTTAGGCAATAAGTACACACGAAATAAACAAATTTGTTATTTTACTGGTATAATTAGTCAAGTTGTATTCCAAGAAGATATGCAACAGAAGGTCTTTTCAGAATGCTAAATGGAATGGCGCAATTATCCAATTCGCTGGCATTAGCTCACTATCGCACATGTTTCCTTACAGCATTGGTGCATAATTTCAGCAAAACAAGCTATTTCAAAATAGCTCTTAAAAAACGGCCCGGTGCAATTTTCCTGCCTGCTTTCAATAGGCCAACATACGCAGTATACTAATTGCGACAACAACGTCAGTATGTTCGACTTCGACATTAAAGAAATTAATGAATTTCGCCGAGAAGGTTTAGAACTGAAGCAGGCCGGCAGTTGAAGACTCGTGTCATCGATGGAAGATTTTCCGTCAGGAATTCGTTCTCAGCTGATGGGAGTCGTAAATTAGTTATAAAGTTATGGCTTCAATTTATATAAGTAAAAACGATTTCCGTATTATCTAACCCTACCTTAAACTCTGACTTGAGTTTAGGAAAATCAATCCTGACACGATGCGATAACCTGAAGTCGTCATCGTCGTCGTCGTCGTCGTCGTCGTTGGCGTTACAGCTATCAGAGTTAATGTTTTTTTGGTATATTTCTCTAATCTATACTTTGCAGAAGAGAATTTTGGATTATTCCGAGTGTTCCTTAACGATGTGCACCTATCAACTACGACGACCTAGCAATAACACCAGATCCTAACGTCTGGGAATCCGCGTTTTGGCCTTGCTACTGATTCATTCATAAATCTATGCTGCTTATGATTAGTGCGTGTAATACTACTATCCATATACATACATGTACATATTTTTTCGAGAACATTGCAGAAGACCCAAATTTTACTTTGAATGAATTCTCTTGCTGAGTAATTTTGAGTTGAACTTTTAGGTATATGGGTCCTCCGCACCATTGGCTTGGTACAGTGGAGCTGGCGACATCGCTATCTATATCATTAGACGTAATTGTTAACGCTAAAAAGAAGTTTTTATCCCATTTTTTTTTTAGTTCATTGATGGTAAACTTATAACATAGAAATGCGTCACGGGGTTTGTATCGGAAGCATTGTTCTTTTTACCCAGGGAAGTACCTTGTTGTATCAATCAAAAGCCAGTTTTGAGCATTTGATCAGGTTTTTTTACACAAGCGTTACACCGAACACATCTCCGTAGCATTTTGAATTGTCACTGGCCCCTAATGGGAGCAATGTATGTGGCACTTCGTTGCATATAACTATTGCATTAAATTTTCCACAACTGTACGTCTAAACCTTCAATGAGTCTCTGAAATTTGCAGTAGAGGACTGACTCGGTTTTTAATTCACCTCTTCGTATACTTCTTACATAGTAAAAAAATTAATGTTTCGGGGTTCAAGTATCACATATCATTGCAATGATCACTATTTAACTGCAAATAAATCTATTTCACATTCAACATGATTGATAACTTCTTTTCCCAGGATTTGGTAAGCTCAACTCATTTAAGATTCTTATTATATATATATATATATATATATATATATATATATATATATATATATATATGAATAAAAAATAAAAGTCCGAAAGCCAGACGACACACGTCACATTTTAATGTATTCCGGCTGTCCTATGTCCTTTGCAAGACTTAATTTTTGCCGTACCTCGACTTTGAGCATATTTGCCTAAGAAGTCCACTGGTTCGACAAACGGTTTGGATAATTGCTCGCTGGAAACGACGCTTTAGGGGTGTTGTGAATGCGATACAAAATCAGGACTATTTCCAACTGTGAGTCATTGGATATCGTTCAGTTCCTCATCGAAGATGTGTGCTTGTAAGTGGGGGGCCGAACGGAGCTGGGGGACGTTTTGATCCAAGCGTCTTTGTTAGTCCTCAATATTATGTCCGTTTTATCAGGTTGCTTGCTCTGGTGGTACTAATGTAAACCTCACTTATTTGTAGGTTGGCCTGGAGTAATTAATTAAATTAATTAAGTTTGTTGCCTCAGATTGAGAATTTCGTTTTTTAAATTTTTTGTTGATTGTTTGTAAATAGCGTTAGTAGCATAAAAAAAGCGTCGGTCACGCTCTGCTGTCTAACTTTTCTTAACTTCTGATAGGGCAAATCATTCAGCCAACAGTTCTATGCCTTTATGAAATGAATAGTCGAATATCTACGGGTGCCACAAGTGCAGTCGAAGTTAACTCAATGTTATCGTTGATGCCAAAATCTCTTTACGATAAGCCAATGTGACCTGAATCTCAAGTCATTGTCAAGGTGTAATTTATCACAGTTTGACGGTGGTAATCATGTAATTAGCAAGGTGATAAAAAAAAAAACTAAGGTATTTTACTATGAAGCACCTGCTTACTTCATTGGAGTACGAGCTAGGCGCTTGCTTAAGCCTCGTGACCATTTCGAATTTCTTTGCTCTTACGGTCGGGCTTCGAAGGATCGGTTTCCTCCGCCCTACAACATGAGATGTTTGATGTGTATCGGTGATTAAAAAATAATTAACAAGCACGCAGCAAAAGGAGTAGATCATTTTCTCATGCTTCATTCACAAGCTCCTAGCAGAAACTATCTACCAAATAAAATGAATAGATTGACTTGTCGCTTTATTTTCAGTCCGGGTCCATTCCAATTGTATTCACTAATCCAAATAAGTTATGCTAAATAAAATATTTTTAACACAACTTCTCGTTTTCTGCCGCTAATACCGACAGCATTTTAAGCCGTTTTAATTTTTCAACGGCGAACTGCTTCAGTTCTCATAACAGTGAGGTCAGAGATAAATATGACATTGTCAGAAGTCAATGCCATAGTCTAAAGGTTGCGCCGCGTTACCGGGTCGTACATAGAGATAATAAGCGTCACAATTAAGCACAATCTTGACTTCGAACCAGTAGCCAGGCTGGTGCGACCTCACCCAGTAGGCCCCAAGGATTCTTCAAAAGAAGGCCTCATTTATTGATATTTATATCAATAGACATTCATGAGGTGTTTGCTGAACAGTTGGTTAACAGTTGATAGCAGCCTAAAAAACTTCAAATTTAATTTTTTTAAATTTAAAACCTTATCTTTAAATCTCAACTTACTAGCAAATTAGTAAATTAAGAGATATAGAAATCATTCAGTATTTCCTGTTCCAACAACCAGACGACCAAACTCATTGGACCTTTCAAGTATCAGATAGCTCTCCTCTTCACCACAACGTCCAGACGACCAATCTCGTTGGAACTAACAGTCACCTAGACCTATAGGTGAAACTAAGTTCCTCTGACAAGAACGTTGTCAACCTTGGTAGACAGATGTTAAAAAGGAAAGGTCAAGACAGAAGGCTTGCACTGGTATTCTCTATGGGATCCAACCGCAGTTCGCGAAAAGGGCTCCATCGACGCCCTCAGCGACCCCCGCAACCTCTACTACGACAATAGATGTATGGATTATAGGCAGCTACTAGTCGACATATTTTCGTTATTGCTAATCGACAGCTCGTTGTCAATTAATCCCATACACTGTTTTTGTAATTAAGCTGGAATTAAAGTGAGCGGCAAAGTACAGCAAGTTATATCTCACTTACTTAAAGTTGTAAATACTTTCGCCCATGAGTTTAACCTTGTCCTCCTTACCCGATGTGAATAGAAGCAGTCCTGTCATTACGATGCTTGCTTCGATTTTTTCCATTCGTGAGCTCTTGTTTGTTACGTCATTTGGGACCAAATATTCAGAGTAGCTTGTTGCGACCAGTAGTAAAAACATGCCCTCCCGGCAACCAGTGGCCAGCACTGGAAGAACCCGTCGAAAACTACAACTCGGCATTGTTCTGCTGTTCCTGGCAAACTATTTTTGCGACGCTTACGTGCGCGGTTCGTAAGCCTATAAACACTATTTTCTCAGCGATTGATCTCGAATAGCGCATTGAGTGTATGCGACGTACCATATGTGCATTTAGGTACGCTGTCCGCAAGATGGGTGACGTAATAAAAGTGGTCCAGTGTTTGTGTTTGTTAAGTATACAAACTGCTTCGCATTTTTTTTTCTCGAACCTCGGAGGCATTTAGCATTTAACGTAACTGCTACGATAACATAGCAATATTGCGAAAAACTCGTCACCACAATGATGAGAGTAGTCAAAACTGCGATTGCGATAGAGTGAGGAAAGCGCTGGACTGACGGCCCCATGGTCTTGAGCTCGCTTTTCAACCCGAGCTGGGTGTACCTATCTGGTTAATAATAGAGTTGTACCGGGGTTAGACATGATCTCTTTCTATACCATCATATTTTGAAACACTCAAAGGTACACTCACTTGTAAAAAAAAAAGCTTAGTTCATCTAACGGGTCAGAAGCAAACAAGTTTTTTTGCGTTGGGTTACGACCCAGTTATAAACCTACGTTATAATGCTTTAGTGTCTTGATTGGTAACCCCTTGACGGCCAGCAGACGGAGTTGGTTAGTTCTTCGGGACGGATCTTGGGCTCTCGAAATAGGCAGCACATTGGGTCGGACGTCGTCATTTTAGAAATAGACAAACATGCCTATTCATCCATCCACTTTATACAGGAAATCGTATATAATCCAAGTATAAGTTTTACCTATGATTAATACTGTATATATTTATTACCTATTGAGTTACAGGTATCCATCTGTCTAAAATTAGTACGTATGTTCAAGCAGAAAAGAGTATCCGAAAGAAAACATGGATCGCATTTTATTCGTGGCCTTTTACATAGGCTCCTTGAAGTTTAACCATTTAGTCTCATATGTTCGGTCGTGACTATTTTCAATTTGCTTTCAGAAAGTCGGTTCGCACTTATTCAAGCATGGAATCTCCAGGCTACACTAGAGATGCAGTGGTTTAGATTAGACCGTTTCAGTCGAGTGTTCTATGGGATATATTCATGTGATGAGCTGTTATCGGTGTGCAGATACGATGAAGTCAATAAGACTACAATTGCAGATCCTGAGTTGACTCCCGACCCAATCGTAAGAGTACCTTGGCTGACCATTCGTTGGCTGTTTTTCAAGGCAGACATTGGTCTCCGTAATCATTTTTAGGGTGAAACAGTACCCGCCAGTTGGAACAAATCACAGTTTCCCATAATGGCAGTGTTTGGTCCATGCGCCCATTTGATATAGCAACAACAACAACAACAGCAATTTCTATAAAAACTGATTTCATCCAGCCTAAGTAGAAGTTCCGCTAAGAGCTTGGAGAACGTGTACGATTTTTTTGGATTATGTTTTGTGCCATTGCAGGTTTTCGAAATGGGTGTCATCTCACAGAAGCTCAATCTGGGGGTGTTCCCCAGATATTTCATTGGTTTAACGGAGTACGACGCAAAGCCTTTAAGCTTTGGCCCGTTGAATATGTTACCGTGTGACGACATCTGCTTCAAAAGCTTCCGTAAGTCCAATTACTGTTCATGCCGGTACTTTATTATATTATTATCATTATTATTAAAAGACATCGTATATACACGAATAATGGTATCCATACGGAAATCTAAATCTTATAATTATTTTTCTGAGTACATATAACAAGGCAATGTATTAGCCTGTTACAAGAAAAACTCGGTAGACTTTGAAGTCGCTTATCCTTTAAAGCTAGTCTAGCTAGAATGATTTTCAATGTATTAGAGTTACTCTCCTTAATTTTTTACACTTGTTTCAACGGTCTGCCAGTTTTTGGATAATCATCCACCTACAATTTGCGTTCCCATGCATAATTTGTATAATATGGCTTCTCAATGTAAATCGACAGTAGCGGATGCTTGCCCGAATTGCCCTCTAGGACATGGCAAACCCTGTAATCATGCGGACCTAAAATTGAACAGGTTGAAACCAACGTTGGAAATTTTTTACTCAACCTAGGAGCTAACTGGGGCTTAGCGATAAGATCTGGCGTTATCATCGAGTATCCAAATAGCGAGCTCTCAATTGCCATTTTTATACTCTGCCGGCCTCTTCTACACCAAGATCTCTTTTTTTTGGAACTCGGTTAGTTTCAGGCTCAAAATCCTGTCTCTGGACACGCATTAAACGCATACATACATACATTACCCATGAAGATTTGTGTGTCTCGCTTTACCTAACTTGATTACGA